TAAATCTCAATTTCAAAAAATTGACCCTTATGACTGGTTTTGTGGTCATGTTTTTTCTGTCTGTACACAGCCTCTTTGACGCGGTCTACTCTTTACTGAAACACAAAATCCACAGGCTGCCAGTCATTGACCCAGAGTCTGGAAATGTCCTTCACATACTGACCCATAAGAGAATCCTCAAGTTCCTTCATATATTTGTAAGACGAATAAATCCAATTGTTAGTTTTATTTGAACTCATGATTTTACAGTTCAGCATGTTTATAAATGTGTATATTTCCTCTTCATCTTTAGGGAGCCTCAGTGCCCAAGCCATGCTTCTTGAAGATGCAAGTTAAAGATGCAGGAATAGGAACTTTCACAGACGTGGCGACTGTCTCACAGACGGCCACTGTGTACGATGCACTTTCTGTGTTTGTTGAGCGACGTGTTTCCGCTCTCCCAGTGGTGGATGACGATGGTACTTAAACAAGCAAAATAAGTCATGTTACAGGACAAACACAGAATATTGAACTTCCGTTTTTTTTCTTCTAGGCAAGGTGGTCGCCCTGTATTCCAGATTTGACGTGATTGTGAGAATCTCTTCTCCTTTTTTAATTTCTGACATTAAAGGCAGAACTGGCTTATTGAGAGAACTTGTAACCAGTATCTTGTATAGTGATGTTTTAGTTGACTGCCACCGTTTCTTTTGACAGAATCTTGCAGCGCAGAAAACCTACAATAACCTGAGCATGAGCATGCTGGAGGCGGTGCGGAGGAGACGCTGTTATGTGGAAGGAGTCATTAAATGTTACCCTGACGAGACTTTGGAAACTGTTATTGACAGAATCGTCAAGGCTGAGGTAAGGAAGTGTGTTCTAAACTGAGGCTGATCTTGATTCTTGATGATTGATTCTTTGCATATCTCCATGTAGTTTTGCTACATTTATTTTATTGTTTTGTTTGGTATTTAACATGGAAAAAAATGGAAAGCAAGAATGAAGGATCTCTGTTTTACATGATATATTTATATTAAAAAGAAAATTTATAAAATGTCAATTTTTTTTTTAAATGATAGTTTATAAGAAATTAGTACTGACAAAAACAGTTGCATTTAATATTTTTTGTCTTGTCTTTTTTTTTTGCAAATGTTATTCTATTTTATTGTTTTTTGCGTTAGATTTTTTGACTTGTCACGTTTTGTTATTTTGTTTTATAACAAATGTCATTTTGTTTAAATTTTATTTATTATATTTTGTTTACTTTTATTTTTAACTGTCATTATTATAATAATAATAATAATTATTATTATTTATTTTTATTTTTATTTCTGAGCTGTTTAATCTTGGTTCTGTGTGCAGGTTCATAGGCTGGTGCTTGTGGACAGAGAAGATGTGGTTCGGGGAATAATCTCTCTCTCAGACCTGCTGCAGGCCATAGTTTTATCTCCAGCAGGTATTGATGCCCTGTTTTCCTAGCCTGAGAGGAGATGTTTTCTCCTGTTACCTCATCTAACCAGCACTAGTATCCAGGTAGGCTTTACTGCCTTCCCAGCCTAGCTTTGCCAACACATGCACTGCTGCTGCGCATAGTACTAGTCAAAAGTTTGGACACACCAAACTCAGAACAAAAGTAAAATCATCCAAACTATATAATGGAAGTGGAAATGGAATGGAATTATGTAGTGACAAAAAATATATATATTTATAATAATAATAATAATTATTATTATTTATTTTTATTTTTATTTTTTTCGTTTTATTTCTGAGCTGTTTAATCTTGGTTCTGTGTGCAGGTTCATAGGCTGGTGCTTGTGGACAGAGAAGATGTGGTTCGGGGAATAATCTCTCTCTCAGACCTGCTGCAGGCCATAGTTTTATCTCCAGCAGGTATTGATGCCCTGTTTTCCTAGCCTGAGAGGAGATGTTTTCTCCTGTTACCTCATCTAACCAGCACTAGTATCCAGGTAGGCTTTACTGCCTTCCCAGCCTAGCTTTGCCAACACATGCACTGCTGCTGCGCATAGTACTAGTCAAAAGTTTGGACACACCAAACTCAGAACAAAAGTAAAATCATCCAAACTATATAATGGAAGTGGAAATGGAATGGAATTATGTAGTGACAAAAAAAATATATATTTTTTTTAATTTATTAGAAGTGCATCATGGGATGTTTTACACTCTATTTTATTATTTATTTTGTTTTTCTGTTTTGTATTTTTATTTCAAATGTTATTCTATTTTATTTTTAATCAGATTTGTCATGTTTTGTCTTTTTTTTTTTATAACGTCAGCTTATTTTATTATTTTGTTTCATTCTGGGTTGTATTTATTTATTAATTCATTTCTTTTTATTATTGTTTTTGTTTTTTTGTTAATCTATAAAATTACATAAATGGAAGTGTTGTAATTATGCATTGTTAAAAAAAATCAGAAAATCCTAAAATAATTGATATTTGTCTAAAAAGCACATTTCCAGCATTTAATCATAAAGCATGCAATCATGAGAAACATAGATTCAGCCAGGTGTGTGTAAACATTTAACTAGTACTGTAAATTACCCCACAGTATTATGTGCCTTTATTAATGCAATCAGTATAGTCGTTATTGAATCGCAGCCACTCCTAATACATCTCTCTACTTTTAGGTATTCACAACCAGTGAGCAGTAACTGAAAACACTTATATGCAATGCTAATGACAGAAAATTGCTGATGACTAGAGTTCTCCCTGCATGTTTGTGCATGTGCGTGACCTGTTTGTTGGTTGTATGAGTATTTGAATGTTTGAGAATACACTGGTGGGTCAGGGACCTTTAACCCCAGTGTGTTTGGGAGCACAGCCACTGTCCTGTCCTGTCCCCTCTGTGCTGATATTGTTGCTGTACTTCAGAGTAGGAATACCATGGTATTATCTAGTTCAGAAAAGCATGGTAATACCATGCTACTTTCTGTAAGTGTATTCTCTTATCCTGTTTCAGGTTTTTAAAGCAGATAAAGTATGACTGCAAGCAAGAATGAGGAAAGGAGCTCTTTTTTACATTATACACTCATATTGTAAAATATGTTCAGTTTGGATTACGTAAAGTGTATAATATATTAAGCAACACATTTCTCATTTAACCGAGAGATTGTTTGTGATAAATGAGTACTGACAAAAGGAAACTTGCATTTTGTTTTCATGTAGAAGTGAGCACATGGGCTTGGATTCTGATCAAATTGATCATCTAGTTTGCCTTTTTGTGCTATGTTATGAAATGTATTGTCAGATTATCATGTTTTGTTTTAATAAACAATTCCTTGTGCTCTTTCTTTGCCTGATTGCCTGCTCAACAAATAACCTTGTACAAAGCTTTTAAAAAGCTGCTTATTCTATATACAGGTGCATCTCAATAAATTAGAATGTTGTGGAAATGTTCATTTATTTCTTTAATTACATATATTTTATTTAAATCTTAATAAAACAAAACTGCATTATATTTAATGTTATTAAATGTAGTTACACCGAAATAGAGCTTAATATAAATATTTCTATTTCTTTACATCAACTGAAGCCCAGTAAGAGTAATATCCATTCTCTGCTAAAAAATGTAAAAAAATATAACATATTAATTAGTGCTGGGCAATGATTAATCGCATCCAAAATAAAAGTTTTTGTTTATATAATATATGTGTGTTTATATAATATGTACATGCATTTATATATTTAAGAAAAATGTTTATATATTAAATATATTAATATGAATAAAAAATGTAAAAAAAAAAAAAAATTACATTTTAGATTTTTCTTCTATGCCAAAAATCAATAGGATATTAAGGAAAGATCATGTTCCATGAAACTATTTTGTAAATTTCCTACCGTAAATATATCAAAACTTAATTTTTGATTAGTAATATGCATTGATAAGAACTTCATTTGAACAACTTTAAAGATGATTTTCTCAATATTTAGATTTTTTTGCACCCTCAGATTCCAGATTTAAGGAAAGATCATGTTCCATGAAACTATTTTGTAAATTTCCTACCGTAAATATATCAAAACTTAATTTTTGATTAGTAATATGCATTGATAAGAACTTCATTTGGACAACTTTAAAGGCGATTTTCTCAATATTTTGATTTTTTTTTTTTTTTTTTCACCCTCAGATTCCAGATTTTCAAATAGTTGTATTTCGGCCAAATATTGTCCTATTATAACAAACCATACATTAATGGAAAGCTATTTTATGGAAAGCAAATTTATTCAGCTTTCAGATGATGTATAAATCTCAATTTAGAAAAAAATCGACCCTTATGGCTGGATTTGTGCTCCAGGGTCACATATTATATAAACAAAAACTTTTATTTTGGATGCGATAAATCGTTGCCCAGCACGAAATTGTTAATATAAATATGTCAATAAAAATAAATAATATTGGTTAAATCAAATAAATGTCAAGTTTAATAGCATAAGCGTGTGTTTGTGGAGCAGCCAGCAGATGTCACCCAAGGGTGCAGTAAACACTGAGCACGTGACTCTGTGAGAGCCTGTAAAATCCGCGGCGTGTTTCTGTTTTTTCTAATAATCCATGACCAGCCTCTCCTGACCAAACCCCGTCACCAACACACACAAACAACGCTGGGCAAGTGAGAATGGCGAGCAGACGGGCCTTGGTGTCCTCGGCGGATCTGGAGGCCTGGTTCCCCGCGCCCGGCGGCGGCGAGGATGCGCCGGAGCTGCGGCGGCTGCGGGAGCGTCTGTGCGGCTGGCTGTCGCAGTGTGAGCAAATATGTATAACTATTTCACCATAGTATTACTGTCTAAAATAACTGTATTGTGGAACTTCCACAGTTTGTGTGTGTGTGTGTATAGCATATACAGTGGGTACGGAAAGTATTCAGACCCCCTTCAATTTTTCACTCTTTGTTATATTGCAGCCATTCCTAGTAGTACACAACTATATGCATCCAATTTAAAAACAGAGATTTATTTTTTTTTTTTTAAAGAAATTACTTTTATTGAGCAAAGGGACATTAAATTAATTGAAAGTGTCAATAAAGATATTTATAATGCTACAAAATAGTTTTATTTCAAATATATGCTGTTCTTTTGAACTTTCTGTTCATCAAATAATCCTGAAAACTGGAAGATTACTTTTTCCACAAAAATATTAACAGCACAACTGTTTTCATTACTGATATTAAGAAACCTGCTGAAAATTCAGCTTTGCATCACAGGAATAAATGACATTTTAAAATATAGTACAGTAGAAAACAGTTCGATTAAATGATACTCTTATTTCAGAATATTACTGTTTTTATTGTGTTTTTCATTAAATAAATGTAGCCTTGGTGACCAGAAGAGACTTCTTTCAAAAACATAAAAAAGTTCAAATTAGAGACACCGTTATTGTGAAACATGTCTGTTGTCACAAAACAAGGAGGGATCGATTTATGTTTCAGCTTAATTTGATCATCCTATTGTATTTTTAATATTTCCTGAGAATTTCTTGAACGGGGGCCCATTCATTCACTGTCGCTCACTGTTTGCTCCTGTGTTCTCTACAGTGTGGCATCCTGAGGCGTCTGTCGTTGAGCGGTATGTGTCTCAACAGCAGCCCCCTCCCTTATGTGTTTGCACTGCTCACCTTCAGAATTGTTTCCTATGCTGTATCCTAAGCTTGTCTCCTTATGAAATGAGTTGAAATCTGTCCTGACTGTACAGAGAAGCGCTGACTGATCAGCCACGTCTGTTAAGCGTCGAGGAGCTCAGCCATCATCTCGCCGAGAGTTACCTCACCTTCAGCCTTTCGGTATCGGCCCCAAAAAACCCATATCGGTCGGGCTCTAGTCAGTAAGGTAAATTTAGTCAATTAAATTTTTTTATGAAATTAATACTTTTGTTCAGCAAGGATGCATTATTGATTAAAAGTGACAGTGAAAACATTGATTTGATCCATTTCATATAAATTTAGTTCTTTTAAACTTTCTATTTATCAAAGAATCCTGAAAAAAATGTATCATGTTTCCCACAGTAATATGAAACCGCACATCTGTTTTCAACATTATTAATAATAAGTGTTTCTTGAGCAAATCATCATATTAGAATGATTTCTGACGGAGCATGTGACACTGAAGACTGGAGTAATGATTATGAAAATTCAGCTTTTCCATCACTGGAAAAAAACAACATTATATTGTAACAATATTTCACAATATGACTGTTTTGGTTGTATTTTTGATCAAATAAATGCAGCATTGGTGAGCTTAAGAGACTTAATTTAAAAAAAATATCTTTCTGACCCCAAACATTTTCTGTCCAGAAAGTGTTTACTGATCAATCGTTCTGTTTCTCCTCATCAGTTCTGCATCATGATGTGTTCAGGATGTTTCATCCTGGCCATGGTTGGACATTACATTCCCGGGATAATGATCTCCTACATCATATGTGAGCAAACTTGTTTATTTCCATATATTCTTTTTGCACACACTGCTCGCCTTTTGCACCAGCTACTCAAATTGCACAACACACAGCTATTCAAGTCCACCTCTGCACTTACATAACACTCCGGCTGTATTTCGCATTGCTATGAATTAAAGAAGCAAAATAAAGAGATAAATATATATCACTCCAGAGAGGAAAAATATATTCCCAGCATTTCTGTTTGGCTGGGTTAAAAAAAAATGCAGGCACATTTAAATACAGAAATGTATTTATACTAAATACTACAACAATTCAAACTGGTGTCTAAAGGTATAATTTCTGTTGTCCTTTTGATGTAAAAAGATAGGGAACCTATCCAGGTCATATTTTACCATAAAATCACAAAGATTTGAAATCAAGACAATTTGAATGAAGAAAAAAAGGGCTTCTTTAGGATTATTAAGATGTTTAATGTTTTTTATTTAAATGTAGTTATTATTATTTATTTTTTTTGGTGTCAATAAGAGTTATTTTATGTTTTATTAAAGCTTCTTATGCTCACCAAGGATGCATTTATTGGATCAAATATACAGTAAAAACAGTAATACTGTGAAATATTATTACAATTTAAAATAACTGTTTTCTTCATAAATATATTTTAAACTGTAATTTATTCCTGTGATGCAAAGCTGAATTTTCATCATCATTACTCCAGTCTTCAGTGTCACATGATCCTTCAGAAATCACTCTAATATGCTGATTTGCTGCTCAAGAAACATTTCTTATAGTTATCAATGTTTAAAATAGTTGATACATTTCATTTTCCAGGATTCTTTGAAAAATATGAAGTTCAAAAGAACAGCGTTTATTTGAAATCGACATCTTTTGTAACATTATGTGTCACTTTTGATTAATTGAATGCATCCTTGTTGGGTAAAAGTAGAATTTCTTCTAAAAAGTAACTCTTACTGACTCCAAACCTTTGAATAGTACTGTATGCAGAGGTTAATAGTGTCTTTCTCTGTCCTGCATTAGTGCTGAGTGTGCTGCTGTGGCCTCTGGTGGTTTACCATGAGCTGATCCAGAAAATGTACACCGGACTGGAGCCCATACTGATGAAACTCGACTACAGCATGAAAGGAGACACACAGCACCGCAAATACGACAAGAGAAGTGAGAGCGTTGCCTTTATTGACTGTCCTAGCTTGCTAACCTAACTTTTCAATTTTTCAAAACCCAAAATAAACACAATATTGTTGTTTTACATTAGTGTTAAATGTAATCCTATATATACAGATTTTATACCAGTAATTTTATTTTATAGACAATTATATAATGGCTGATAATCTGATATGTCTGATATTTTTTGCCACTATGTTCATGCTTAAAGTGAAATCACGTGTCGAGACATTTTAGATAAAGTAAAAAAAATTTTTTTTACAGAAACCTGGCACAAGTTTACTGCTTGAACCTGAATAAATAATCCCTAATATTATCTGCATCCAATATCGAACTAATAATAACAATAAAAACTGTTGAATATTGGTGCCAATATATTATGCGCTCTTTCTGCCGATATCACAGTTATAGACTTTGCAAACCAGGTTGTTAGTGTGTCACTTCCTGTTAGACTGTGCTCAGGAGAAGTGTGTGTGTGTGTGTGTGTGTGTGTGTGTGTGTGTGTGTGTGTCCAGAGCTGAAAAAGGAGCAGGAAGATGGTGATGAGCCGAGGGCAGAGACCGAGAGCGAGAGCGAGGAGGAGCTGTCGTGTTTCGCCCCTACTGTGAGTGTCCTGATACAGGGGGGTTAGTCTCATGTTTGGTGGTGAGGGATGTGTCCCATCTTACAGGGGCTGTATTCTATATTTAAACATTACTCCAGTCTTCAGTGTCACATGATCCTTCAGAAATCATTCTAATATGCTGATTTGCTGCTCAAGAAACATTTATCATTATTATCAATGATGAAAGCAGTTGTGCAGCTTAATGTTTTTGATACTTTTTTTCCCAGGATTCTTTGATGAATAGAATATTCAAAATAACAGCATTTATTTGAAAAATAACTCTTTTGTAACATTTTAAATGTCTTTCACTTTTGATCAATTTAATGCATCCTTGTTGAATAAAAGTATTAATTTCTTTCCAAAACAATCTTAGTGAACAGTAGTGTAATTCCAGTCACTGATTGGTTTGTTCTGTGATCAGGTGGATGTGAAGACCACGGCTCTGGCGATGGCCATCACAGACTCTGAGCTGTCCGATGAGGAGGCATCTATACTGGAGAGTGGAGGATTCTCTGTGTCCAGAGCCACCACACCACAGCTCACAGACGTCTCTGAAGGTACTCAATTATTATTATTTTTTTTATAAAATTGTAGTTTAGTCAGACTTATTAAAAGAAGTGGATCAGTACCACAGACAACAAACATTCAACAGACATTATTTACATGGGGTCTATAATTTTAACTTACCAAGTGCATTTATTTGATCAAAAATACAGTAAAAACTGTAACATTAATATTACAATTTAAAGTAACTTTTCTATTTGAATACATTTTAAAATGAAATTAATTCCTCTGAGCTCATTTTTCCTGCAAAGCTCATTTATCAGCAGTCTTAAAATTTGCTTCTCATGAAGCATTTCTGATTATTATCAATTTTGAAAACAGTTGTGCTACTTCATTTATTTATTTTTTTTCTTCTTTGATGAAGAGAGAAAGTTTAGAAGAACAGCATTTATTTGAAATAGAAATCCCCCAATAAGGTGGGCTGTTTGTACTTAGTGTAAATAGACACTCCGATTATTTCATCATTGAAAAAGCCTTTCCCTTCTACTTTATTTTTACTCCAAAAATGCCTGTGTTTTCATCAGCAGACCTGGATCAGCAGAGCGTGCACAGTGAACCGGAGGAGGCGTTCTCTAGAGACCTAGCAGAGTTCCCGTCGGTGGACGAGCTGCCTTCTATTGAACCGGGTCTGTTCCATTTCCCGCTGGGCGTTCTCGGGTCTGAGCAGACAGGAGCATCTGGATCCGAGCTCCAGGAGGAGCCGCTGTCTCCGGCCAGCCTCCTCATCCAGCACTTAGCATCTCCGCTCCACTTTGTCAACACACACTTCAATGGACACGGACAAGCGGTGGGGGCGGACCAAAGCATTGTGGGTACTGAAAAAGAGGGAGGGGGATCGGCTGCGGGCGTTTCGAGACCCGCTCGGTCCCTGGAAGCCCTCAGCGAGGAGATAGTGAGCACGGCCATCTCTACCGTAGTACAGAACACTCTCTCAGCCCTGTTGCGGTCTACCGAGGCCAGCGAGGGCTTGTCAATGGCTTCATTTCTTCCCACCGAAACACCTCCTTGCCCGATGGAAATGCCCCTCGAGTCGCCTTCCACCCAGGAAGCCAGCGCAGAAGAAGAGGACGTCGACGTCACCGAAGCAAGCACCGAAGAGCAACCGGATGTCACGCTCGTACCCACCGAGGAAGAGGACTTTGAGCTTCTGGACCAAAGCGAACTGGAACAAATGGATGAGGGGTTGGGCCTTGGTGTTGATGGACAGGAAGCGGGCGGGGCTTCCACAGACACGCCCCCAAGCAGTCAGCAGCACGCAGACCAGCAGGATTCCTAGCTTCGTGTCATCTAAACTGTTTATTTTATTTATAGTCCTTGTAGATACCATATACTGACAAACGATTCGTGAAAGGGAATTTTGCGGTCAGCTATGCCTTTATTTTGTTGTTTTCGGGAGTGAGATCACTGTGATTGTTGGTGGGCTTTTGTTTCCTGAGCAGGTGAATGTCCAAAACGTAAAACGTTTGACGCAAATCCTAAAAGCGATTATAATTTTTTTCTTTTTTTTTTGACAGATCCAAATGGCCTTCAGCCTCAAATCCAGCCACTCAGATTACAAAAGCAGTTTAAAATCGACTTAGTTTTAATCATTTACTGTATGTATATTTCGACAAAGACCACATGTCTGCGACACAAGAGCCCTCTGGTTTATCAATCCCACGCTGACCGTTGTCATAAGGTTTAATGCATCGGGTCATGGGAAGAAGCCATGTGGGCTGAGTTTTATTTGCTTATAGGGCTGGGAGGTTTTGTGTGGAAAGAGGATGGGCAGGATATGACTGCAAATTCTCAATGAAAAGTTGGTTATGTTAAAGATTTCTTTTCATAATCATAGCTTAACTAATATATTGCAATGAAGTGGATGGCTTTATTTATTAAAACTGGTTAGAGTGAAGAATAGTTTACTATTAAATACGTCTCAAATAAATAATAAAGCTGCAAGATTTATATTCTGGGAGACAGAAGTTAAAAAAGTTTAGCACGTTGCGGTGCAATTGCGAATCAAATGCTGAAAATCGTTTCGAGAAATCAATATTGGATTGTGCCATTTACTGATTTTTGAGGATGTAATCTGTAAAGTACTTTTGTCGCACAAAGGTGATTGTGAATGCAGCGTAGCACACGTTAGCTCTCAGAAACGTTCCGCATTGTTAGTGCTTGATGTTTCCCCCCTGTGTTCGTGTAAAAGTTTAACTCCTATTCAAGCTCAATATATTATAATTGGCTGCACTTTTGAAGTATTGTTTGTGTGCACATTTGCAGGACTTCTGGATTTTCATAACCATGCCAAATATACTGCTGTTCAAGAATTTGGGGTCAGTAAGATTTATTGTTTTTATAGGAATGAATACTTTTATGCAGAAAGAATAAAAGTGACAAAGTTTTCTCTTTTTAAATAAATGCTGTCCTTTTGAACTTTCTAGTCAAAGAATTGTGAAAAAATATCACTATTTCCACAAAATATGAAGCAGCACAAACTGTTTCAACATTAAAAATAATAATAAATGTTTCTTGAGCAGCAAATCAGCATATTAGAATGATTTCTGAAGGATCATGTGACACTAGACTGGAGTAATGATGCTGTAAATTAAGCTTTGCATCACAGGAATAAATTACATTTGAAAATATATTAAAATAGAAAACATCAAATAATTTGATCAAATAAATAGCCTGGGAGAGTATAAAGGACTTAAAAAAACGTAAAAAATCTTACAGACTCTAAACTCTTGAACGATAATGTAAGTTTCATTGTACAAATCACATCAAGAGCTCACAGATTGCCTGAAAAACAATTTACAATGAAGTTTGGGTAGATTTCGTGCATGGGCTTGACTGAATTACTTTCCCTTTTTTAATTGAAATTAACATTTATAAGGGGAATCCTAAGCGAATGATTGAGCCTTATTTGTATGTATCTTTGTAAGATGTTCGTAATAAGTCATCAAGGTATTTCTAGAATTGACAACATGAAACTAACAGCATATTTGGGATTATTTTAAAATAATTTGATTATTCATTTCTCTTCATGTCAGTGTCAGATCTCAGTGACTTCTTGTGTGACACTGAAAGAATATAAGATTTTATGATCCAATATTTTTCAATTATTAATCATACTAAAGGGAAATATCTTTTAAACTGGAAATGTGTATGTAAAAACAATGTATATATTTGAAGGCCTGTAACATGGGACGTTTTACAGATCTGTTGATTGATTGGAGGCAGGTTGACATTCCTTTAAATTCAAACGTTATTCTTACACTGTGTCCTAACCAGTCATAATGTGTGAAAAAAATTCCATTTTAATTCGAATTTTGTTTAGCCCCACCCACTGTAAAATCTGATTGGTCTAAAATCCTGCGCTACATAGTTGCAAATATGTTCTGCGTTGCTGTGATTGTATTTTTAATTTCAGTGTGGAAAAACAAACTGCTTGTCGCATCTCAGTTGTTTGGTTAGGACTCTGTGTTTTTGCTTTGCGTTTTGCCCCTTCTCCTGTAGATACCCACAAACTGACACATCTGAGATTTGTGTTTTCAGATATTTACAGAGAGGTTATCTTTGTGTAATAGTGATTGTGTTTTGCTCATGCTGTTACTGCTTATGATCTATAAAAAAGCACTTAGAGCATTTAACTTCAAAATGTATTGTTGAATGTCATTTTGTTACTCTGACTTGCACCTCCATGTATCTCTAATATACACCCATAAGCTGGTTTTCTACTTCAAATGCTTTGTGTTCATTTAAACAGGGATTGTTTTCACTGAATTGAACTGATTTGCAAATTGTGAACTATAGGGGGATTAAACTCTTGGTTTAAAGGAGTAGTTCACCCTCAGGCCATCTCAAGATGTAGATGAGTTTGTTTCAGAACCAAATCAGAACAGATCTGGGGAATTTACATCATTTGCTCACCAGTGGATCCTCTGCAGTGAATGGGTGCCGTCAGAATGAGAGTCCAAACAGCTGATAAAAACATCACAATAATTCACACATCTAATAAAGTCCATCAATTAACGCCTACTGAAGTGAAAAGCTGTGCGTTTGTAATAAATCCATCCATTTTTTACTTCAAACTGTTTTTCCAGCTAAAATATGAGTCGTTTATCAATATTGCATCCTCTAGTGAAAAAAATTATCTTGTGTGAATCAGGAGAGAAATATGCACAGATCAAGTCCAAAAGTCCAAAACCGTTTTGATGTGAGAGGACAACAGAGGATGGACTTTTTCACTGGAGGAGGCGTTAATGGATTTTTTGCGACAAAAAAGCAACGGTTTAAAGTTAGAACAGCTGATGGACTTTTTTTTTCTTACAAACACAGCTTTTCACTTCACAAGACATTAACTGATGGACTGGATTATTGTGATGTTTTTATCAGCTGTTTGGACTCTCATTCTGACGGCACCCATTCACTGCAGAGCATCCATTGGTGAGCAAGTGGTGTAAAATGCTACATTTCTCCAAATCTGCTCCCATGAATAAACAAACTAATCAACATCTTGGATGGCCTGAGGGGGAGTACATTTTCAGCAAACTTTAACTTTTGGGTGAACTATTCCTTTAAAGGGGTCATATGATGCTGCTAAAAAGAACATTATTTTGTGTATTTGGTGTAA